ATGGAAGCGTATTCGGGGTGGAAAGCGTCCATCCTCCCTGAGCGAGACGAAACTAAGGGGAAATTGACCAGTGCGCAGTGGTTCTCCCTTGTCTTTTTCGTTCAAGCAGTTCTGGACGTTTCGAAGTTTCTTGTCGCTACAGATGTGTGCTGGACATGATTTGCTTGAGATAGAAATTTAAGCAATAAAGGAAAGAATAAAGGGAATTTCAAAATTATTAAATGTTGTTTTCCTCTTTTTGATTTCTATTCAAGCAGTTCCTTATTATTACTGATGTGCATTGGTTATGATTTGGTTCAAATGGAAATTTAAATAATGGACAAAAGAAAGAAGAGAACAACAAAATTATTAAAAATTGTTATTCTTTTTAAAGCATTTTTATATATTTCTGTCCAAGCTATTCTGAGCGTTCCGAAGTTCCTTATAGCTAGAGATGTACATATATTGGACATGATTTGCTTTAGATAGAAATTTAAGCAATAAAGCACAGAATAAAGGAAATTTCAAAGTTATTAAAAGTTATGTTTCTTTTTAAGTTTTCTTCTTTTCTATTCAAACAGTTTCGAGCGGTCTTAATTTCCCTATTGCCAAACAAATATTTGTGATGAAAAAATGTTTCACAAGATATGGTTTGAATAAACATTTAAATAATAAAAAGATAATGAAAAAACGACATTTAATATTTAAAAAAGAAGTATAGACGTATGAAAGAAAAGTATATTTTGTACTCAGTTTGGTTTGAAAAGGATTTCGAATAATAAGAAGGTAATAAGAAAATGTTGGAGAATTTTGAATAATGCAAAAGTTTTAAATAATAATAAGAATGTTTAGTTCATTATTAAATATTCTGTTTCTTAATTTTCATTTTAGTATTTATCTTCCAATATTAGTTAATTTTCGAAATAGTACATAATAATAATAGTACTAGAAACAGATAAAAATAACTCGATATTAGAAATGGAATTTATTAAAGAACTTCAAAAGTAAATTAAGCTTTTTTATCATAAGAAGTGAATAGCGGAAATACATGAACCGGGAGTACAAGATTGTTCACTTTAAGGACATGAATTTCTTGCCATGAAACTTCAAGTATCCAGAAAAATGCAAAAGCTAGTAATGTCTTACAACGAACGAAAAAATAGGCTTATAATTCAAAATATAATTTACTTATACATATATACAAATATTCATGCAGGTTCCATTATGTCCTATAAAAAGATATTTATTACTTTTGCTTAACTTTTTCTGTGTTATTTGTTAAGTTAAGCTAAGTTAAGTTTTTTTTATTGATTTATAAAACAGCGTAACAATAGTGCTCTATTTAAATTGACTAGAACTGGCTTCATGTTTATGACACACATTGCATATACGCAATAAGTTATAATCAAATTCTTGGAATTGAAATATTCTCATACCCAAAATCGAACGTATTTATGTTGTTACTTAATACGTTTCATATGAAATCAAGATTTCATGGTATTAACATCATATTTACTATGTTAAGTATGTATGTCCGACCAAAACTACTTATTTCTACTTGCATGAGTATTTATTTTTATTTATAATTATAAGAGATTAATTTTCTACGTACATTTACTACATACGTATCATAAAGCTAATATTATTGCAAAATAAACATGTGATAATATATTTTGTATACAAGTAGAAATAATACGTAGTATTCAGACGTATTCACAGTCATATTCCTAAGCATGCTTAGGACTTCCTAACAATAGAAAGGAAGGTTTCACAAACAGAAATAAATATTATTACAATTGAGATAGTATAGTAACTTAAATTATTTACCATATTAATTTATACGTAAACTTACATTTGTATATTATTGTAAACTGAAAAATATTTATAATCATTTAAAAAATAATTCTGTAGACTAATTTTGAAATTATATCTTTCTCCACTACAATAATGAACATCTTTTTCAAAATATATCGATTCAAAGATTTTTAGTGGAGCATAATTATTATTTTTATATCAGATTTTTTCCAGTAATCACGTATGTTATAATTCGCGTTCAAAGAAGACAGAAACTGAGAGTATATAAATATCTCTTGCTTTCCATGTAAAATCAGAACCCCTTGTTACCCTTGTCATCACCGTCTTTATTGTTCTTCGAAACAAAGGATGAATTGTAAATTAGTACGCGCCGGCGGTCATCCTATGTTTTCACGCGCAAAGCTTCAAGAGTATACTTGAATTAATCGAATCAAAATATTTTTCGGGAGTACCACCATTTTACCCCTCCATAACAAAGATTAAAACAGTTATATGTCTGATAAAATCACATAATATACGACAAAAAATATAAAAGCAATTCGTAAGCCCTTAAACAATCTTCAAATTTATCAATTTCTGCAAATTCCAATAGTTATTCATCTTTTCAGTGCAAATTGGTATATATTAACAATAAAAGAGTATAATTAAATGAGCTAACAGTATTCTATTAAAATAATAATATAAAAGTGTATAACTTTGTTTATTTTACGAACTTGTAAAAAATAAGTGAAAAATAGTTAGGTGGAAATGTATGACATCTCAATTACCTTAAAAGTTACATTATTAACACTCGATATAAGTTTGTTCGTATAAAATTTAGTCGTTAATTACATTTTTACTTGTACCATCCCTTCAAAGGTTCATATATTCCTAACACTTTCCTTCACAAATTTTGCTCTACTAAAATATACACAATTTTTTCACGCCAATTTCGAAAACATAAACAACCATAAATAATTTTCTTGAGAAGCACTATACAAACTAATTTCAAATTCATTTCAATCTTAAATTCATTCCCCGAATTGTCAATATAAAATAAACATCGTAGACAGCTAATCTCCTAAATTCAGGAACAAAAATATAAATACTAATACAGTAGTTTCTATAAATTTGATACAAATAAACCAAATGCACGAGTAAACTCCTATGCTTCACTATACCCGAATAAATCCTATCCCATTCAAATAAATACTTTCCACCAACGGTAGCACCAACATTTGTCTTTTTTTTTGTAACAAAGGAAACAATAAAATGCGAAGTAAAACTGGTTCCAGAATAAAACACCGTGAAACCGCCACCCGTAATTAAGGAAATGGATCCCGCGATACTTTTATTGCCGTGCGTGCACGCGGGAAGGCAGTTCTACGCGCGTGCCGCATCGAACAAGGGGCGATGTAAACCATAAGGCCAGTGAAAGGGTGGGATTGAATTGTTCCCGTGTCGTTTACACGGCGTTTATTTCACGGAAGTCATAATCGTTATTCTTGTGGGTTTGTTGTGGCCAACCGACCGAGATACTCTGTTTTTTCGTTTCCCGTGCCCTGCATAGGAGTAAAGCAGGTGATGAGCGTAGCCGAGCGATACAACGCTGTCTTGCGAATCAATTTGAGGGGATTCGTTCGGTCCGGAACTTTTTACCCGCTCTGCGACACAGTTGCACCCTCCTGTGATAACGGGAAGTATGATTATCGATATTTAGTTCCCCTCTGTTGTGTAATAAACCAGTAACCTTAAAGATTTATTTCGCAAAGAAATTAATAAACCGGTTGAAAATTAAATAAACACTTCTCCTTTTTCTTTTAACAAAGATTTTTGTTATCTTATTTTCTTCTCGCTATTTTTTAATTGATTTATGTGATGAATACTTTATTCTATTCAATTGCAAAGGAAGAACTTTCGTAATGACATATAATAGTAATTCGTAACAAGGGCAGCATAAAAATAATATCAAGTAAACTAATGCGAGTGATATACAATTAGTAAATAAATGAAATTAATTGAAGTAGAAATAAAGAAATACAGGATATGTCAAAGTTGAGCTGATAACGTTGTGCATAAGCCTCAATCTGTAATTTCTTCTAAGGTTCTCTTAATAAAAGAATGATATGTGGCAACAGCATACGACATTAACGATAACTTTCTGTATTGAAGTAACAAATGCAGCAATCACCGAACGATCTCATCTATATTATCAATCGAATACACGTCCAACGCAGCAAACCCAACAATTATCACAAAACCCATTGCGAAACAAACTTCCGCGCAGAAGTGACGCGGACAGAGTAACGGTACCGCGGAGCTCGGTCCGATATAGACCTGCGCCAAATGAAATTTGTCCTTGGGAAATATAAAGACACGTAATTCTCTTGTTCCTTTCACTTTCAATTCGAGCCGTACGGAACGGACTCCTCGCGCGACGACCTTTGGACAACGAGCACCCTTCGACGAAACTCAATTTCCAGCTCAAACAACCGACAACTGCGGCGGGACAACTAAAACTCGTTGTTAGATAAAAAAAAGAGAAGGAAAGCAGAGAAAATAGAAGGGAAAGGAACGTGTCACCCTTCGACGAACGATGCCACCCCCGAAAATAAACAGCGGACGCACAAGAGAGACGGAGACCTGGTCCGGCACGTTGGCGGAGGGTAGGGAACAGAAAAAATCCTTCCACCGAAAAATTCGCCTCCAAACAAGCGGATGCAAATGGAGGAGGGGGTGGGCGGCGATGGTAGCCGGCGGTGTTGGCTGGCCAAGAGGTCGTGGAAGAGGGGCTGAAAGGAGGAGAAAAGAGGTGGAGCAGCGAGGGTGGCAACAAGAGGAAAAGGGATGCCGTAGGAGGGTTGATATCGGCTCGAAGGTGAGCTTCGGAACGCAATGTCCGGCCTGGTCCAGCCGGCAGAGATGCGAGTATTGATCTAGGCTCAGACCTAACCCACCCCCTCGAACCTTTCCTCCCTTCTCGGCCACCTCCAGCCACCTCCTTGCGCCTCCACCATCTCCGAGCTCGTCGCGAAGCCAGCCCTGTTCCGTTCCTGGGGGTCGTGGTCGAGAGAAAAAGGGATGGAACACCTGGAGAACCGAGAGAGAGCGAGCGGGGACGCTCGGGAGTGGCGGG